TCAGTGCCCAGCTCTGTATGCTGCTCCTTAATGCTGAACTTCCTTGCTTATAAATGGATGATTTAGTGGCTTTTAAAATATTATGTGTAACAAATGACCAAGGGGAAATGAATTACTTTTCAACCAGACTTTGAAACCTAATTACTGGGCTAGGATAACCAGACACATTAAGAAGGAAGAAAAATGACATAGCAAGAGCTAAAAACTCAGTACCACTAGAAGCTGAGAGCCAGTTAGGGGCAGCACCACTTCCAACAGAGAACACTCAATCCCCAGGAGGATTTTAAGAGCTGATAAACCTATCTCAAAACCAACTCATCAGGAAGGCTGAGGCTTAGACTCACTGGCATAGCAGCCAAGGAGATCTTGGAAAATACTTTTGTCTCCCTGATGTAACAAAGACATTTTACCGGAGAAACAGATTATTTTATCTGCAGCACATCCCACAGCTGTAGAGTCTTGGTGAATCCTATGTATACTCATTACAGAAATGTGAGAAGTTTAGCCTGAGTGTTGCTTCTTATCCACATTGCTAGGCAGTTACTCTTGTAAGAAATCCCCTAGTAATTCAGTGTGGTGCACTGGCTAGGGATGGGATATGCATTTTCCCTGTGGGATAAAAGGAACTCTTGTTTTATGGAGTGCCGGTACTGTTGGAAAAGAAGTCCTAGGAAGAGTTACAATCATCTGCTTTCTCTCTTGCAGGAGCATTCCTCATTCCTTACATAATCATGGCCATCTTTGGAGGGATTCCTCTCTTCTATATGGAACTAGCACTAGGACAGTACCACAGGAATGGGTGTATTTCCATTTGGAGAAAAATATGTCCTATATTCAAAGGTAAAGAAGGGAAATGGAAAATTAGCTGTGTACACCTATGATGTGCAGCTCTCCAACTGATTACATAGAGGCCAGGCCACTCTCTAAGTCTGACAACATGAGGAATTAAAGGAGGTGTTCCAGATGCTCATTTACTCTTCCTCTCAGTGTTAGAGCTCTGGGCTTGTCTTTTTTACTGAGACTGTAAGATGCCTATTTCTAAATGCCAGAAATTTAGGAACAGATTAAAAAGTCTCTCTACAAGCATGTTCTGTCTTGATTAATGATGCCTTATTAGAATCAGAGCCTGAGTGTTTCTGAAGTCACAAGCAGTGATTGTAAACACTTGGGAGGGTATGTGTAGCTCCTGCAGAGCTGCCTTAGGGAGTTACTAATGGGAGTAGATGTGATAACCAATTCCCTTTATTTTTGGCCTCAAACTTACACTGGCTGAATGTAATTCTTTCCTGCCTCACTAGGAATTGGCTTTGCCATCTGTATAATAGATCTTTACGTAGCCTCCTACTACAACACCATCATGGCTTGGGCCTTTTACTACCTCATCTCCTCCTTCACGGCGGAGCTGCCATGGACCAGCTGCACAAACCCCTGGAACACAGGCAACTGCACCAACTACTTCAGCAAGGACAATGTCAGCTGGTCTGTGCACTCCATCTCTCCTGCAGAAGAATTTTATACGTAAGTGCATGTAAGTGAGGACAGTGATGTTAGCCAGCCTGGTGGAGCATGTAGCAAGCTGTTCTTTGGAGGGGAGCAGGGCTGAGTGTTCGTGGTACCCTCTCTGAACCACTCAGAGCACTGAGTGCTTGAAGGTGTAAACTTAGGGGGTGTGATCTCTATTTTAGATAAGAATTTTTCAATCACTGTCAGCTGTCAGCACTTATCATCACTGCTGTACCATAATATCCAACCTGTAATTAAAACAGCTAAATCCAAAATGACATGACTCTGAAGGCTACTTATCAAAGCCTCAGGATTCCTTGCAATGCTCAGCCACAGTATGGGACTGTTCAAATCATATTTAACACCAGCATTTGTTAACAAGATATCTACACTGTTTTTCTTTCCTCTTTCAGCCGCCAAGTTCTGCAGGTGCACAGGTCTGATGGGCTGGAGGACCTGGGGGGCATCAGTTGGCAACTGACCCTCTGTCTATTGTTAATCTTCACCATTGTGTACTTCAGCATCTGGAAAGGGGTCAAAACATCTGGCAAGGTGAATGCAAAAGCAAGACAAATTGACAGTACAGGCTAGAGGGAGTTCTGAACGAGCCAATTAACTGTCAGGGAATTATCTCAGGTTGTCTTCCTGAGAGGGACTACAGACTGATGTATTTGGGAAGTACTTGCTGTAGAGTGATTGCTGCTGTTATCCAAGTAATATATGACAAGAGTAAGTTATGCCACTGTTCTCTGGGCACAAACAACCCTGCCAAGAGAAAGCAGGTACAGATGTGCAAACTGCCTGTTTACAGACCTTCAGAGAAGTTCACATGAAGATGTTATAAATATCTCATGCTTCTTGTCCTGTTAACTTTCTCCCCGTGGCCAACACTGTGTTGCTGTTTTCCCTCACAGGTGGTGTGGGTGACTGCCACATTCCCTTACATCATCCTCTTCATCCTGCTAGTGAGAGGTGCAACTTTGCCTGGGGCTTGGAGAGGTGTCCTCTACTACTTGAAACCTGACTGGCAGAAACTCCTGGCCACTGAGGTAAAAAAAACATTACAGAAGGTAGAGATTTGCTTTTAGTCACACTGAGCAAACTAACTTTACTAAGCCCTAACAGGTGGTGGAGCTGCAGATTTTTTGGCTGTCAGGGGATCGCTCTGCACTTGGGCAGCCCTACAGTGTCCACAGTTGTCCCTATTTAAATGGTGCAGGTTACTAGAGGAGAAACTTCAGATCTCCATCCTGTAACAAGCTTTGGTAGATGAGCCCACAGAGACTCTTGGTAGCTACCAGCTAAACCCCGACTCAGTAACTCAGTGCCAGTGGAGGAGAAATAAATAAGTTAGGCCTGCAAAATTTGAAAGGAGAGAAGGAATGAGGACAAGTCTGAGCTCACCAACAAACCCCAGACACTCCAGTATCTGATTCAGCCTTGAGCTCTGCAGATGACAGGCAGTCCATCAGGCTCAAGGCTGCACTTATTTCACTGCCTGTGAAAGTGTCTAGTGAGGAGAGTGATAGCAAAACCTCAAAGCAATAAATACTACAAACACATAGATTAAAAAATTCTAATGTTTGCAAGTCTGCTGCTGCCCAGCTGATATGGAGAGTTTTGAATGAAGAGGAAATGAAAAGACACCAGTCCCTGATAAAGCAGCATCTCCAATAAGAACCACATCTTCTGAAAAAGCAATAAAGGGCATTGACATTGTATTGGATGTATCTGGAGTGAGGACAGCAGATTGCAATCTGTGTGCTGGCTGGTGACAGAGCTCTGTCTGGATGATACAGGGTGGCCTGACACCATGGAAGGGAATATTAGAAATGAGTTGTAATGAACTCTGTGTTTCAATCAGAAGAGGATAAATGAATGAGGACTTTCACCCTTAGAAAGAGAACTGATATTGTACTTTAGAACATTACTCATTAGGGCTGTGGCCACTTTTCAAGTACAACAGGCTTTTCATAACAAGATCATCACACTTGCATCTGTCAGGGCTACAACAAAGCTAAACTGAGTCCTAAGGACTAGAACTGTACCCACACTGTCAAATCTATTTCCATACATCTAGGAAAAATCTGGGCAGTGATCACCTACTACTTAGCCTACACAGCTAAACACAGGACTACTCCACAGCACACAGAGTTTGGAGGCAGACTTGGAACACTGAAAAATCATGCACAGAAAGTTCTCTATACATTGCAAAACTTGTGTTAAAATCATTACAGGTAAATGACCAAGATGCTCTCAGAAGTGAAACTTACAGCAGTGTAAAGAAATACAATAAGCACCATATAGGTGCTAAAATTAGAGTGGACATTTACAACTCTCATAGATCTACAATAAACATTCATATTTCAACATGGTCTCTTAACAAAATGTTAGACCAGGACTAGGACATAGGTAAATCAGTGAAACAACCTTTTGTAGGCCTAAGTGATACTCTGAATATGCCAAACTCATTCAGTTTCATACCATTTTTTCTTGATCTTCACTATTTTTCAGGTTTGGGTGGATGCAGCAGCTCAGATTTTCTTCTCCTTGGGACCAGGTTTTGGGGTCTTGTTGGCTTATGCCAGCTACAACAAATTCCATAACAACTGCTACCAGTGAGTTCTGCCTTAGTTTCTAAAAAAAATAATCACATTTAAAAATGTAACTGTGGCTATTTATGAAAAAGAAACCCAGTGCTGGTGAAAGGCACTGAGCTACCCTGTGCAGCAGATGCAGATTCCCTGATATGAGCTAGGTCTTCTGTTGCAGAGATGCTCTGGTTACCAGTACTGTGAACTGCTTGACCAGTTTTGTGTCTGGATTTGTCATCTTCACTGTGCTGGGATACATGGCTGAGATGAGGAACGAAGATGTGTCAGAGGTTGCCAAAGACACTGGTAGGTTCATGTTTTGTACACTTCTTCTGAGTCAGAATATATTTGTATAGAGTTACAGAATAGAGGCATAGAATCATCAAGGTTGGGAGAGACCTTTAAGATCATCAAGTCCAACTGTTAACCTGCCACTCTGCTCTAACCCCTAAACCCTAAACCATATCCTCCAGCACCAGGTCCAGATGCCTCTTCAACACCTCCAGGGATGATGACTCCACAACCTCCCTGGGCAAACCTATTCCAGTGCCTGAACACCCCAACAGTGAACATTTTTTTCCTAGTATCTACTCTGAATCTCCCATCTCAGCTTAAAGCCATTTCCTCTAGTCCTCTCATTGCAGGCTTGGCAGAAGAGACTATCTCCCACCTCTCTACAACCCCCAATAGATAGACAGATAAGATAGATTATTTTCTAGACTGAGAAAAACCCCAAAGTACGCAAAATATTTAGTATATAACTCAGGATCCTGACTTACTCTATGATAAAGGCAGTGACACAGTACAGCTGAAAGATCAGTCCATAAATGCAGCACACACAAGTCACACTGCACCCTCACAGATGTGATGGTCACTGCACACAGCCAGCCAACTGCACACACAGCCTCCTCCTGGAGGGAGGAGGCTTCCCCTGGGAGACACAGGGTTCAGTGAGCAGTGGTGGCTAACCATCCCCCAATCTCTGCCCCAGGGCCCAGCCTGCTGTTCATCACGTACGCCGAGGCCATCGCCAACATGCCTGCGTCCACCTTCTTTGCCATCATCTTCTTCCTCATGCTGCTCACACTGGGACTAGACAGCACAGTGAGTAGCCAGTTTGGGAGACCACAAGCTTTTGGATTCTGTGTGTGCAGCCTTACCCCTGCAGGCTCACAGAAACAGGTCCTGCACTATCTCTGAGGGGTTTGCAGCAGGAGGGGCAACTCCATGTGCTTTCTGTAAGGCTGCAACTATTACTCCAGTTTTTACCTAAATGGGCCTAAATATAATGCAATGATTTGTCACTGTCACACGGTGCCAATTAGTAACAGATCCAGAAACACAAGCAAAGGACTTGATTGATACTCTCCTGGTTGAATGCAGCCTTGCAGGCTCCTTCTCACTTGTAAACTTGCAAAGCTATTATCAAATTCTGGAATATTTTCCACACAAATTGGATTTAAAAGGTGGGAACTGGAGGTGACCTTCTCAACAGCACTGTGAAAAGGAGATAATCTAAAATCTTGCCATTTTAGCCTGGTTTCACAGATGGAGAATCAGCTCCTTCCAGCAAGGCTGAACTCAGCTGATCTCACAATTTTGATTCTACTGAACCACCTCCCACTTCTGCACATCCTAATGCCTGTGGTACAGAACTACCTCTGCAGAACAGTCCATTCCCACAGACACTTGAAGACTAAATTTCCTCCCTGAAGAGATTAAAAGTTCTGAGGAAAGACTTCTCTAAATAACAGCCACACCAACTCGACAGCAGGACAAAGCACCAGCATTTCAATGCTCCTATAAGCACTGAAACATAATTTAAAGCAGGTAACACTGCTCTCTATTTCCCAGTGATTTTTCCATGCTTTTCAGTTTGCAGGACTAGAGGGAGTGATTACTGGAGTACTGGATGAATTCCCAAACGTCTGGGGCAAACGCAGGGAAGTGTTTGTGCTTGGTCTGACCATCGTTTGCTTCTTGGGGTCACTGGCAACTCTGACATTTGTAAGTATTTCACCCCCTCTCAGCCTCCTCCCTGGCAGTTTCCTGCCAATGACATGTTGGAGGGGGCAGTGGTTTTTGAAGAGAGTTTCAAGAAGTCAGATTAAATCTCCAGCCTGTTTCCTCTATGCATTAGAAATCTATTACTTGGAATAAATGTGAACAGGAATTCACTAGAAAATGTGTTGCAAACTGATCCTACTGCAGTTCAGAAGAACCCTGATGTGGCTGCTCCAACTGCTGCAGACAATTTTCCACATCTTCTGTGTGCTTTACTTCTTGATCCCAAAAGCTCCATGCTTGAAAACAGTATGAATTGTTGGTTTAATTTCCACAATGTTTAAAAAGAAAAGACCAAAAATTATCTGCTAGAAAATGCCTTAACTGACTGTTCCATTCTCCAAAAATTTCTAGTCATGAATTTCCTGGATCTTCCTCATTGTATCAGGTCAGAAATCACAATCAGTCACAGCAAATAGTCCCTGTGGGGGTTGTGGGTTTCATTCTCACAACAAGCAATTTTTGAATAATGAGTATAATGATCATAAAGGAAATGGAAAAAAACACTTGGCTTTCCTGTCATGTTTCACTCCACTTGCTCATTTATGTGCAACTTCCTTCTCATTCAAAGTGCTTGCAAAGGATGCTTAGTTTGTCTCCAAGAGGTCTCCTCCTTCATGAGTCTAGATCCCAAATGGAAAGACAGCAAATTCTTTATTTCCTGTTCAGTAGCTTTGACTCATGTTGGAGAAGGAAGTTCCCATCACAAAAGGCATGCAAAAGCCATTCTGTCAATCCCCCAAAATCCCATGTGTTCACTCAAATCCAGCTGGAACTCCCAGGTTTGAGCTTTCCTGCATGGCACCCCACTGGTGAGGGATGCCCACAGAGAGCAGATTACCAGCACACTCGAGGATTTCCCTGGCAGGAACAGCCCCAAACTGAGTGAATTTCCCATCTGTGAACGCTCTGGTCCAGCTGAAGGCAATAGCAAAGAGCAGCAGTGCAGGATTTCTGTCCCTGGATCCCTGGGACACTGACAGTCTGATCTCCTTTCCAGGGAGGAGCATATGTGGTAAAGCTGTTTGAAGAATATGCCACTGGCCCAGCTGTCCTGACTGTTGTGTTCCTGGAAGCAGTTGCTGTGTCCTGGTTCTATGGTAGGTCTAATTCCATGTTGGCAAACACTCCTGAGCTTCTCCAGGACAGCAGTTCCTCAGTTTCTGCAGACAAGAAAACTGATGCCTCAAAAAAAAAGTTTATAAAACCTTTTTGCAGACTCACTGATCACTAGATCTGTGAGTATTACTGCTAGCTGCTCTCTGACAGAAGCACACAGACATCTAAAAGTAACAGGAGTGTAATTCAGAATCGTTAAGGATTTAATATCATGAAGAGTTATAGGAACAAAACAGGTTTTTTGTGATGGATTCTGATTTTGAAGGCATAAAAATTGCTGAGCTCCTACATCTGCTGTCACCCCTCTCCTCTCACTTGTCTCCACAGGCATCACCCAGTTCTGCAACGATGTGAAAGAAATGTTGGGCTCTGCCCCAGGCTGGTACTGGCGAGTTTGCTGGGTTGCAATCAGTCCCCTCTTCCTTCTGGTGAGTTTTCTTAGAGCTTCCTCTTTTCAGCACATGAATATTACCACTGAACACTGCAGTTCCTCAAATTTCTAAAAGCTTAATGCCAGAATTTTCTTGTAAAGTTCTTTAGTGACGATTTTTGTTAAGCCAAACAGGCTCAATGAGTGGAAAAGCCAATACTGTGCTGCAAGGTCTTGTTGCTAAATAATGATTTTAAGGATTTTGGCAGATGAGTTAGGTAAGTCTGGGTTCTGAATACCTCCTCTCCTTCCCCCTGCTG